GTGTGTATGTGTGTGTGTGTGTGTGTGTATGCGTGTGTGTGTGCATGCGTGTGTGTGTATAAGTGTGTGTGTATGTGTGTATGAGTGTGCGTGTGTATAAGTGTGTGTGTGTATGCGTGTGTGTGTGTGTATAAGTGTGTGTGTGTATAAGTGTGTATAAGTGTGTGTGTGTATGTGTGTGTGTGCGTGTGTGTGCGTGCGCTCACAGGACGTGTCGTCGATCCACTCGATGTGAGCTGGAGGATACTCCTTGAAGTAGCCGAACACGTCCTGTGTGCTCATGTCATCCACGCCCGTCACGTGGATCGCCTCCATGCGCAGTCTGGGGATGGCTGAGCACCACAGAAGAAGACAACAACAGGTTCAACAAACACACAACAGAGTCGGACTGTTGTTAACACCTGTGAACTGATCCACCTGTCCACCTCACTCTCAAAACATGAACCCAACACAACATCTGGGGCCAGCTGCACAAAACACCTCAAGTTAAGACTTTCCTCTGTCTGACTTAATGTTTCCTTAAAATGTTTCCCTTAAATATATTGTTTTCTCCTTATCTCGGTCCAATACTTAAGGAACCACTTAGAGTTAAACCATCGCACAAAAGACCTTAGTGACCGAACTAAGGAAAAACTCTAAAGGTGCATGTGACTCCGTCTGACCTTCTGAGTTTAATGAGATTAATGAAGAAAATGAATTCGTCCCAAGGAGAGAGGGAGAACACAGTGGACCCTTAACGACGGGGAACTGATTTCACATCACAGATTACAGATCAAAGCTCTTTCACTGCTGTAAATTACTTATTTCTGTAACTAAGGAAACCTTATACTTAAGTAGAAAACTTAAGGTGCTTTGTTCCACTGGCCTCAGCTTTGACTGGATCTGTTAATGACCTCTTCTTCTTCTTCTTCCTCTTCAGTGGTTTAATGTCAGCACCTGGAGAATCAGCTCCAGCAGCTGTTTACCTCCATCACTCAGTCCACTCGTTCAGAGGACGAGACAGACTTTTACTTTTTCTTCTGAGGGTTTTAAATTGGATGGAAACCCAGTTAATCTCATGAGCAGGTGAGGAGCAGGTGAGGAGGGCGTAGCTCCTCCTCTTACCTTTCTTCATGGTGTCTTTATCCAGAAAAACGTTCCTCTGTCCGACGCTCTCCTCCACGTGGAAATGGAAACGTCTCGCTCGCTTCTCTTTTCTCTCGATCGCCTCCTGATTAAAAACACACACACACTGACTGATCACATGACTGATCGGAGAAGCATTAACCAATCAGAGATATAGATTAACCCTACATCACCTTCATCCTGCAGCATTAATAAAAAACAATCTGATAATTTATAATGAATAAAGACAGTAACAGGAAACAGTCTGAGAGACGTTGTGCTGCTGGTGGGCGAGGAACGTCACAGACCTCAGACCAGAGCTGTTCAACAGTGAAGATGTTCACTCTAATGTGATTTAATCTGGTTGTTTGCAGCTGGTAAAAGACTAAAGTAGAATCACCGCCACTCAGGCTAGAGTCATAGAAAATATTAAATATGAACCATTTGTGTGACATTTTGTCATAATTGAGACAACGTGTCCGGGAGAATGAGACGGACGGACGACCTGAAAACAAAATGGCTGCTCTGACAGTCACTGGCGCAGGCTAAGCTAAAATGCTAAAATGTTTCTGTAGTGTGGTCAAGGAGGATCAGAACCAACTTTTCACATCATAAAGTTTGTGAGTAAAAGACAAGGTTTTTACTTTTATCTGGGGTTTTACTTTGAAAAATAATTTGTCTCCGAATATTTCAATCACCTCATTAAAACTCTTTAAATTAAATTCTTTTAAGAGCAATAAACGAGTTGTTTCGACCTGAAGGCTTCATGTTTCATACTGGAGTCTGAATGGCTCCAGGCTAGTTGTGATGTCATAAATCCTGCAGGTAAGTCCAGGTGTTAAAATGAGATTTAAGGGGAAAGATAAAAACAGTCTCTCAGTCTCATCAGCCTCTAACTGTTTGTTCAGACTTCTTCATAGAGAAACTGTTTAAATATCCATCAGATCCACTTGCTGCTGTGCCGGACTGAGTAAATCCAGGTATGACGGACGGAGCCCTGTGGGTGTCTGTCAGTGCAGGTGTTGTACCTTTGAGTTGACATCGATCCCGGTGATGAAGGCTCCGGCTTTGTTCTCGTACCTCCGGCTCGTATCCTGCAAAACAAAATCCAGCAGCTCAGACGCTTCACATCCTCACTCCTCAGTCTCTGCTCTCTGAACGCCCCCACTCTCAAACAGAGAGGCGTCCACATGACGGTGGGTGGGCAACACAAAGACGTCATGGAGAACATTTTTGTAGGATGAAAGAATTAAATAAATAAACAAGACATATAAAAGGTCTAATAATGGGTTTAACAGCTGAAGTTGGACATAAAACCTCCACAACACCAGAGAACCTGACGCTAGCTTTCACTGATTTCTCCTACATAATAATACTCCTATTCAAGCATCTGCCATTTTAATTCTAATCTGACTGTCAGGGCAGAATAGTGAACACACATACCCTGGATCTCAGTGTGTTTCAGCACAATCCACAGATTTACAGGAAATATAGCTGCAGCATTAACCTGAAAACTCGGGATGAGAAGCTGCTCGCACTCTCACACTGAATGACTCTGGTTGACAGGTTGAGAAGATCACTAATATCAGTCTGAGTCATTAAACCTCCTGATGCTGCTGAAGATTCATTTACATCAGTACTGTTTGATGAAAACACTTAAGTAACCTGATGAAAACACTTAAGTAACCTGAAGAAAACACTGAAGTAACCTGATGAAAACACTTAAGTAACCTGAAGAAAACACTGCAGTAACCTGATGAAAACACTGCAGTAACCTGATGAAAACACTGCAGTAACCTGAAGAAAACACTGCAGTAACCTGATGAAAACACTGAAGTAACCTGATGAAAACACTGAAGTAACCTGATGAAAACACTGAAGTAACCTGAAGAAAACACTGAAGTAACCTGATGAAAACACTGCAGTAACCTGATCATGTTTCAGATTAAAACTTAAGAAACATTGTTCAGTACAGGCATTAAATGATATAATATCGTAAAACACTTACACCAGCGATGTGGCTGTTGTGTTGTCTGTCAGATGTGTTCAGCCAACAGCTGTAGATAAATTACAATACTGAAAACTAAAGTTAGAAACTAACGTTTAATTCCAGGCTTAGTGAGGGGCCTCCTCATGTTGGGGCCCCGGGCTCACTGTCTCTATTCCCCTGGTTCACTGTCTGTTAACGGGAAGATTATCATGGAAGCAACAACACAGGAATTACAGCTAAAATAATAATTTAACTAAAGTGGTTGATTATTAATAAGCCGAATTGATAAGTGACTGTGTTTGTATCAGAAACGTTGAAAGGTTTTAAATCGTGTCCAACCGACGCAGTCCCCGGTAAATAACGTTAAATTTCCAGTTTACTAACGGGGGTTTGATGGTGCACGTGAGGAGGCGACCAGCAACAAGTGAGTGAAAAAACAAACGTTCAAACTCCAGCTGCGGAACAATGGCGCCACAAACTAAAACTAGTCCGTGTCACAAGCAGCTAATGGTCAGCCGTTGCACCGTAACCGCCGCGGTGCTCACCAACTGCTCCCCGGACACGGAGCCGGGAGTCCAAGTTACCACACACCGTCACTTCCAGCGGATCCGCCGGCCAGAGCAGACGCCAGTCCCCGGGCTGACAGGGCCTAGTTCGGGGCACTTACCGGCACCAGCTCCTTCAGGGAGCGGTTAACGGAGATGTCCTCGGCCTCCAGATCCAGCTCTCCCTCCTCCACCTCCATCGGTTCGGCCTCGCGGGCATCTCTGTCCGACTCGGAGTCTGAGTCCGAGTCCGAGCGGTCCGAGCCGCTGTCTGATTTCACAGACACCCGTAAACTATGAACGGCCGCCATGGCGCTACCTGCGAACAACGCCTGCTGCTGCTACTTCCCCCTAACCCGGCAACGGTTCTCTGTCCTCCCGCCTCTTCTTCGTTGGTGGAGAAAACCGTCACACCAGAGCACTAGTGCCACCCAGTGGTGGAGGAAGTATTCAGATCCTTTAGAAGTAAAAGCACAAAAACACTTATTTACAAGTAAAAGTAAATTTCGGGAATAGTTATAATATTAGGAAAATAAAGTCGGTTCTTGAAGTTCACTTGGGAGGAGTGAACTTCAAGAACCTGAAACTATTTTTTTGGGGTCCATTTTATTCCTTTATTTGATAGAACCAGTAGAGACAGGAAGTTCAGGGAGAGAGGAGGGAGGAGGTGGTCCAGGTGTCCACAAGAGGACGCCCCGAGGAACTTGAGGTTCACCTGGAGGGAGTGAACTTCAGTTCACCTGCACGTAAGGGACAAGGAAGACTCATTTGAGGGCAGTAATGTTCTCATTATGAGCAGAGAGGAGCGACGGTGTGAGAGAGAAGAAGAAGAAGACATCCACGACAAACAGGAAGTGAAGAAGAGAAAACGTGTCCAGTCGCCTTCATAAATATACAATTATAATGAAATAAAATAACAAATATAAATAATAAATTCTATCGTTATATTATATTGCATTACATTAAGCTGTTATATTACAATATATTATGTTATATTAAATTACATTATATTATTATATTATTATTGTATTATATTATATTATATTATATTACAGAGTGTAGTGTAGAGTGGCCCAGCTGTACGGTGACATCATCATCCAGTACGCTAAGACGATGTCCAATCAGGTGATGCGCAGCCTCAGCAGGTGATCTGCAGCTGGAGGGGGACAGTATACTACCATAGAAGAAGAGACATCACTGATGTGATGTGATGACTCTGTCTTCACTTTCCATCAGTGTTGACAACACAACCTGATGCATCTTTATCATCAGCCTACAACAGAAACACACACACACACACACACACACACACACACACACACACACACACACACACACACACACAGAGAAGAGAGAACCAGTCCATTCTGCAGAAACTTTAATACGTCAGATTTTCATGTGAGAATCACAGAAACCTCAGATTTCCATCATGATGCAGAAACATTAAATATAAACACACAGACATCTTTGTATTTATGCTACTTCCTCCCTCTCATCAGCCCCTTTCAAAATAAATTATTACTCTTATTTTGCAAAAAATCTGAAGACACAGAAAAAGAGATTTACACCTGAAGTCGGAGCGAGGAGAGGAACAGTTTGTGCTTTCCGTGCAATCGAGACAGTGACAGTTCAGTCTGTACAGAGTCAGTGTTCATGTACATTTAACATCCACAGAGGAAGATTCATTTTAGTGCAAAACATACATCAGTTGTCAGTTTCTGTCGGTTTTTGCATCAAACAGCTTCTTCTTAACACAGTGTCACAGTTCATGTGATGTGAACGTAACTCAGGTCTATCTGATCTGTGATGACAGTAACTGAGCGATGAAGTGTACCGACGCCACGTGCAGCTCTCAGGGACAGAGAAGAAGAAACTACATGGACGTGATCAGCCCACAACAACACAAAGACATCATCAGTGACCTGGAGAAGCTGCAGGTCGTTCAGCTGCTCCATCAACCTGATCTGTGTTGGTAACAGGAAGTGTTTCTGAGGCCGGAGCTGTGTCATAGTTCAGGGTCTGCATCTGAAGACGGAACCCAACGAGACTCGAGCATCCCACTTCAGAGGCTCCTTGAAAACGCCAACAGGTGGATCCCTCATGGTCCAACATGTCCCAAGATTCATTTCAACAGCTAACTCTTCAAACCAAGGACCTTGAAACCTCAGGTTTTGTCACAAGTGTTGTCATGGTTGCTAGGCTCCGTAGACCAGACCGTCCCACTTCGGTTCGGTCCTCTCGATCTACGAAGGACCAGGATGTGGACCCTGAACTGGGACACAGCTCCAGTCTCTGATCCTGGTCTCAGCTCTGCTCAGAGTTCCTGATCAATATGACACCAACAGGAAATGCTCTGTGTATGATAACAACGTGTATGACTCCACCTGACCCCACCTCAACACCACACACTCATCATGAGCTGATCAACCTCCTGAGGGCCCCTACTGGCCCCCGGCGTTACCTCCCCATAACAACAACCAGTGCTCTGGAGCACACGTGATCAGGTGATTAATCAATAATCGACTGACAGAAAAAAGTTTGATAATATGAATTATTTAAAGGAACTGTTTCTGACCTGCTCAGTCTCACCATCATTTATTTTTATTTATCTTTACACATCTGTGTGTGGTGCATTGTGGGAAACCATGTCCGTCAGCAGCCTCAGGATCAGAGTGTGGTCTGAACCTGAGGGGTCATGTGACTGCAGGCTTTGTGTAAACAGCTGGAGCTCTGGTGGCTGTGTTCATGCCAACACGTGTTCATCACATGTTCATCACATGACGCCTGTCTGTTGTCAGTTTGTGTGTCTGTTCGGGGAAGAAGCTCGACTCTGTGACACAGTCAGAGTGGGACCTCCTCTCTCTAGAGGATCACTTCCTGTCGCCACAGCCTGCAGATCAATAATTTAAACTGATCAGCTCATCAGTTTTGGATCAGAACCTTCAGATTCTACAGCTGTTATCAGCAGGTACACCGTGAAGAAGGACTCAGGATCAGGATCAGGGTCAGGGTCAGGGTCAGGGTCAGGGTCAGGGTCAGGATCAGGGTCAGGGTCAGGGTCAGGGTCAGGGTCAGGGTCAGGGTCAGGGTCAGGGTCAGGGTCAGGACTATTAATGAATGTGGCTGTGATGTGGAGAGAGGAGGTCTCACTCTGATGGAGAAACACTGTACAATGGTGTTACAGAGTGACGCCTCTTTTCCCTCATGAACTATCTTTGTCAGAGAACAGACACACCAACACGGTTCATGTCGGCGTGTCCTCGACATCGTCACACAATCAACATTAATTAGTGAAGCTGATAACGAGGCTGATCACTCTGTCACAGTCTGAAGAGACGCAGCATTAAGGAGGAATGTTGAAGTGTTTTCCCTTTTTAACCTAAGTGTGTGTGTGTGTGTGTGTGTGTGTGTGTGTGTGTGTGTGTGTGTGTTCAGATTAGACTTCTCCTCCTCTGATGTTTGTCTGAACTTCTTTGTTGTTAATCTGGAAATTTAAAAGGAAACAAAACAGATTAAAAACAGAATCAAAGATCAAACAACAACAACAACAACAACAACAACAACAACAACAACAACAACAACAACAACCTTGTTCAGGTTTCAGATTGAGCATTTAAACGTCAGCTGCTGTGACACAGTTTCACCACAGGGGACAGTGTAGAGCAGTGTGTTCACCTGTGTGTTGTTAACGCAGTAACACACCTGGATTTACCTGTTCACTGCAAACAGCTCTGTGCTTTGGTCTTTGTGTTTTTATACATTAAGAGGAAATAAACAAATATTACCAGAAAAACTAGAATATGACCTTTGACCTTTGACGGCCAAAATCTGATCAGTTCCTCCTTGAGTCCAGGTGAATGTTTGTGCTGAACATGAAGAGATTCCCCTCCAGGTGTTCCTGAGTGTTCAGGTTTACATGAAGCCTGCGGCTCTTCACCCTGAGTCTTGTCTGCAGGTTTTCCTCTCAGGCTGCTGTTGTGTCTGTTTCCCTCAAGTTGATCTTACTTTGAAAAACTTGCCTTGAAAAAACTAAGTAAATATAACTATTAGTTTGAAGTTATGTCACTTCTTAATTTTAATAAAGTCGCTCCAACTTAAAATGGCAGCTAAAGTGAACTTGCTCTTTTTAAGTGTAATGAAAATCTGACCTGAACCTGTCGTCCTCTGATCTGCTTCACCTGATCTCCTCCCTCACCAGGTATCTCTGCTACAGGAAGTATCACTTCAACAGGAGGGAAACAGACCTGGCAACCTTCACCAGCCTGTGTGTCACCTGACAGACATGAGTCAGGGCAAACTGCTCTGCCTGTCTGTCCACCATGCCTTTTGTTTCTGTGCTCCATCTATGAACTGTTATTATATTTCTGATCGTGAGTCAGTGTCGTTCATGCATCTTCACAGACACACAGGACAGGACGTACCTCCACAGCTGTCTTCACAGTCTAATGTCCCTGCTGAGGACAGACACAAGAGACAGAGTCAGACACTGGTTGATCAGAGACACGTCACAGGTCTGAGAGCAGCTCAGCTGATAACACCTGTCTGTCAGGTGAGGAGAGTGTATGACGGGATCCTGTCTGATTCGTGGTCCTGTTATTGTGTGCTGTGTTCAGACATGTGGATTCATATATAAACATATAGAGATTCTCTTCCAGCAGCTTCTTTAAGATTCACAGGACTCAGATCCCACATCACCTCAGACTGTGACTCATCCCTGCAGAAGATCCTGTTCAGATTCATTCATTCAGTATAAAGTATAAATGATAGAAAAGGGAGGAAATAAAGTGGCACAAACATTCAAACTAAAATCATTTCCAGCTGTTTCTTCTTTGTAATTTAGTCTTCACACAGTTGTAAGCCACGCCCCCTCCTCATCAAAGGCCACAGTGGTTAACGTTAACGTTCCTGCCATCTCGGTTTAAACAGCTATGACGAGTCTTAAAGCTCCTCCAGTGTAAAGGTCTGTGTCCATGTGTAGTGTGATTATAGATCAGCTCTAGCTTCTATATTAATACTGTGAAAGTATCAAAGCCTCAGTCCACAGAGAAATGCACACAGCCTGTATTCAGAAACTGAGCCTTAAAACCAGCCGTCAGGACTTCTGGAACTTTGTGATGTCACAACAAAGCAGTCACCAAGCCCCGCCCACCTGGACCCACCATCCAAACCTTGCAGGATTTGGTTTCTCTGAGTGTTTTTACCTGAAATCTGCTATATTTTTATTGGATCACTCAGAAAACAGTCAGCCAATCAGAAGAGAGGCTCGGGGAAGCTTGTAAAAACAGTTACATCTGACATGAAATGAAGAGAATCTGTTACACACACACACACACACACTTACCGCAGCAGAGTGGCTCAGCTTGTCGAAGCGGAACTTGAGGTTGGATCTGGGAGAGTTTTTATTCTTGGTCTCTGAAAGTGAAAAGACATGAAGTCACAGTGAGAGAGAGAGAGAGAGAGAGAGAGAGAGACATAGACACTGGACTGAGTGTGTGATGCGTCTCACTGAACCTGTGGGGCTGCGACACACAATCAGCGGACTTGAACTTTGACCCTCGACCGCTGCAGCCTGAGTGGGCTGAAAAGAGAGAGAGAGATAGAGAGAGAGAGAGAGAGAGAGAGAGAGAGAGAGAGAGAGAGAGAGAGAGTTGTACAGACTGTACCAGGTGTTTATTGATGGTGAGTATCTGAAGCTGCGTCTCTCACCAGGTGAGTGTCGTCAGTGGCGACGCTGAAGCTGCAGCTGCTGGACGTGGATCTGGAAATCTTACTGCTGTCCTTCCTCATGTGGATCCTGCAGGTCAGAGAACATCAGCTGATCGCTGCCACACTGTTCCTCAGTGTCTCCCACCAACAATAAGAATACACCAGAGAGAACGAGAGAAAGAAAGAAAGAAAGAAAGAAAGAAAGAAAGAAAGAAAGAAAGAAAGAAAGAAAGAAAAAGAAATCAGAGAGCCCAGTCACACTCACCTGTCCCGTTGTCCCGCCTCTGGGGAGCTGGGATTGGACGGCTGCTCTGACCTCACCTCCAGTGTGGGCTGGCAGCTGTCGAAGCTCCTCTGCTCACTGAGGAGACTGAGGGAGAGAAACAGGTTAAACAGTCACATGACGTATCTCAGTCACATGACGTGTGTCTGTCTGACTTACCTCCTCTGAGTGTGTCTCTCTGTCTGACTGTCGACACTCAGCAGACGAGGGAAGAGTCCCGAACGTCTCTTCACAGGAGATCTGATGTTATACTGACAATCACACAGAACACAGCTGTTAACAAACACACACACACACACACACACACACACACACACACACACACACACACACACACACACACACACACACACACACACAGAATAAACAGACAACTCTGACCTCTGCACTGATGTGTGCCAGACCCCCCCCACTCAGGCTTGTGGGCAGACCTGCCCCACCCCGCGACATGGTCTCCATGGAGACGCTCCGTCCTCGCATTGCCCTCTGAGATGGATAAAAGAGGTGGTAGTGAAAACCAGAAGCACAATCAACAACTAACCAACTGTGGTGTCTTAGCTGATTTGTGAGTCAAGGAAAGGAAGGCGCCGGAGGAGGGAGAGCACCCCCTCCGCTCTGGTCTCCAAAAACATTCCTAGAAGCTGACCTTTGTATATCCTAACAAGATTTATGGTATCTTCTAACTGCATATAGAATGACCATGTTTGGACATAAATGTTGGCTCTGTGTTTCTATAAGTTATTAGGATTTAGCTATGTCATGAATATGTATCTAGAGGTTATTCAGCCTATAAATTGTATGGTTTTGGGGAAAAACAGGAGAAGATCCTTTTTGGCTTTGGGTCCTCTCACAGGCTGTTTTGATGCTTGTCAAATGATGCTGTGCCTCTTTGTAATAAACTTTTTTATATACAACTGAGCCGGTGTCTGCAGAGATTCCTTCATCATCATCACATCATCGCTACGGAAGAAACAACACAACAACAACAACAACAACAAACAACAAAAAACAACAGCAACAACAAACAAAAACAGCAACAAACAACAAAATCATTATCGCAGTGTAATTTAAGAGGTTAAATCATGACCCTGTGAAGGAAAGAAAGAAAGAAAGAAAGAAAGAAAGAAAACTCTGACCTTGATGGACTCCAGCAGTCCTCCGTGGGCGTGTCCATTCTCAGATCGACCCTCCTCCTCCAGGCCTGATGTCAATCCCAGCATGCTCTGGGAGCGTCTGTGCAGCTCGTCATGGAGGCTGTCCAGCAGCGCCGCCCGGGTCCGCTCCTGAACAAACACACACTTACTTTTAGAGGGATTCTGTCGCTACTGAACCTGGATCAGCTGGTGGGTTCTGACCCTGCAGCTGGACCTGGGTCTCCTGTGTGAACCACCTGATCCAGGAGCAGCAATAGGAAACAACAGATGATCTAAAACGGAGCCCTGTGGAACTCCACAGGCTGTTAATCACAGAAGATCAATGGAAACAATTCTTTATCAAATGTTGTAGAAACATCAGACAGTCTGAGTCATTCATGTGTTTTTACCTCCAGCCGGGCGAAGCGGTCGCTCTTATAACAGGCCAGCTCTGCGTTGATGAGCTTAGTGAGAAGAAACTCTCTGAACCCTGGACCCTGAAATAAACATTAAACTCAGAAATTAGATCGAGTTCGTATTATCAAATGTTCTCTGTCGTGTTTCACGTCATGTTCTACCAGACAACAACAGCTCTGTCCCACCTTCTTAAAGATGGCTGGATTTGGGAGGGGCGGGCCAAACGGAGGAACGTCTTCTCGCGCGGTGACAGACACCTGTCAATCACAAGTTAGTGAAACATGAGCATTAAAGTGATCTGGTTTGTTTTGTACCTCTGGTGTCATTGTTCTGATATCAACAGGACAATTAACTGTTAACATGTCAAGCTAACTTCTGATTTCATTTTTGTCTCAGCAGTCTGACAACGCTGTGAATCATGGGAAACTGAGTTCTTCCTCACATTGAAAACAACATTCAAAGAAAAACAGGAAATACGTTATATATTTGATAAAAGTTGGAGAAGATGGGGGAACATGTTTGTTGTCAGCTGTACCTTGTAGGTGGTGTTATTGGAGCAGGGCTCCTCCACCTGCACCAGGATGAAGGCGTGCAGGAAGTTGGAGGCGATCATGTCAGGGACGAAGGGCGTGGCCTCTTCTTGAAACACCACAGCCACGATGTCATTTCCTATGTGACGTTTCCTCTGAAGCTGAAGAAGAACTTTGTTGACTTCACTGACATCATCCTGTGTCATGTGTCGTCGTATCACATGTTACAGCGTCCCGTGTCACGTGATGTTGTGTGTTGTATGTTGTTATGTCCCAGCTTTGATTGTTGTTTCTTGTCTTCTTCACGTCACGTCACGTCACGTCACGTCACGTCACGTCACGTCATTTATGTAAGGCTATGACACTGTATCTTGATGTCGTATCATGTGTTATACGCCAGGTCATGTGAGGCCTTGCATTGAGGCTGTTCTTCATGTTGTGTCATGTGTGTTTTGCTGCGTCATGCTGTGGACTGTGATGAGTCGTGTTGTGTCGTGTTGTGTCATGTGTTGTGTGCTGCTGTCTACCTGCTGTGTGTCTCCCTCAGTGAAAGGCAGTTTGGTGGAGACATGGAACATGATCTCCTGCTGTCTGTGGACGGTGTAGACGGACTGAGAACCCGTCTGACCGTGGGACACGTCCAGACCCCCCCGAAACCTGCACGCAGGGAGGAGGGGCAGTCAGTATTATCCTGCTGTTGATCATCTTCTGTTCCCACAGAGAAACGTTCAGTCCAAACCAACGCTGACAGTCAAACTGACAGTGGAGGCCTCCTTCCTACATTTAAAACCGTTGGCTTCCCTCCTGACTTCTGTTGTTTCTGTTTGTCAGTTCAGCAGCTGAGAGAAACTGTGAGGCTAAAAACACAAACTGTCCTCAGTTAAAGTTACTCAGCTTCTGCTGCAGACGGATCAGAACCGTTAGCACAGTTAGCATCATTTATTTGTTTATGTTGTTTGTTAGCCTGTAACTGCCATTGGCTGACACAGTGTTAGCAGTTGTGCTAATGCTAACTCTCTCTCTCTCTGTACTGACAAGGTTTCCGGTGTATTTAGAGTGTTTATGAGACTGTGATTGTTTCACTGCAGGTCAAGGTGGAAACACTCAGTCATGGTGCTGATGATTATTTCATCATCATGTGTCTGTGTTATATAAAAACATCATAAGGACGTTAACGAGGTGAAACACTTGATTTACATCGGAGGGTGTTTAAGGATCTTTTTCTTTTAATAATTAATTGCAGATTTATTTATTTTATATTGATCATTAGTGTTTTCTTTGTCTGTGTTGTTTGTGGTTTAACCCTCTCTTGTGTACCTGTGTTGTTATACTTGTACATGTTGTGGGGACAGTTTTCTCATTGACTGACCCTTTGAAGTCCTGCAGCTCCACTGTGTCTCCCAGCAGCAGCAGAAACTCTGTGAACGCCGGCGTCTCCTCGTTGTTCCTGAACAGCTCCTCCTCAGACACCTGACGCACAGGTGAACTGTCAGACTCACAACACACAGGTACAACACACGTTGTATGTTCTGTTACAACCGTTACAGAGAGAAATCGACACAGAGGTGGGAGGAGTCAGAGTCCAGGTGCGTACCTGTCCAAATCTCTGGTAGATGACTCCGAACTTGAAGGTGTTGTTGATGTCGTGCTCGTCATAGCTGACGATCAGCTGAGACGCCTGGAGACAGATGGACAGACGGTTTGAGAAACGTGATCAGGTCTGAGGAGAAAACCTGCTGCTGTCAACGGAGCTCACCTTCGGGTAGAGGACGGGACTGAACCGCAGACCGGCTGCCTCGTCACACAGCAGCTACACACACACACACACACACACACACATACACACACACACGCACACACATTCAGTGGCTTCATTAAAATCATCAATCTTACATATATATGTATATATATATATATATACCTTATATTGTGTGTGTGTGTGTGTGTGTGTGTGTGTGTGTGTGTGTGTGTGTGTGTGTGTGTGTACCTTGGCGAGCTCTGGTACACTGGGGATGTCAGGCAGCTCTGTCAGTGACAGTCTGTGGTGGACGCTCTTCACTCGAGACCTGCAGGGACACAAGAGACAAACTGTCTCATCTGAGCCAGCTGAGATAGGTGTGTGTGTGTGTGTGTGTGTGTGTGTGTGTGTGTGTGTGTGTGTGTACCTGATGATAACATGGAGGTGCTCCTGCTCCTTCTCCTCCTGGTGTCTCACAGAAAGCAGCAGGTTTCCCAGGCTGCTGGCTGAACAGGAGAAGTTTAAATGCTCCTGAGAGACAGAGACAGAGACACAGACAGAGACACAGACAGAGACACAAGCAGAGACACAGACAGAGACAGAGACAGAGACAGAGACACAGACAGAGACACAGACAGAGACAGAGACACAGACAGAGACACAGACACAGACAGAGACACAGACAGAGACAGAGACAGAGACACAGACAGAGACACAGACAGAGACAGAGACAGAGACACAGACAGAGACACAGACAGAGACAGAGACACAGACAGAGACACAGACAGAGACACAGACACAGACAGAGACACAGACAGAGACACAGACAGAAACAGAGACACAGACAGAGACACAGACACAGACAGAGACACAGACAGAGACAGAGACACAGACAGAGACACAGACAGAGACACAGACAGAGACAGAGACAGAGACACAGACAGAGACACAGACAGAGACACAGACACAGACAGAGACACAGACAGAGACACAGACAGAGACACAGACAGAGACACAGACACAGACAGAGACAGAGACACAGACAGAGACAGAGACACAGACAGAGACACAGACAGAGACACAGACAGAGACAGAGACACAGACAGAGACACAGACACAGACAGAGACACAGACAGAGACACAGACAGAGTGAGATCTCTGTGAGACACTGAGGATCTTCACACTCAGTTTGTCTGGTGAAACTAAATGGACTATAAACACACCCTGCCCAAGAAGTGCTTCCTGTACGCCTGAGCAGCCTCATTGATCTCCTCCAGACGGTACCCATAATCCCCTGTGGCTGTGTCCACCTCATCGATTCCTCTCAAACCTCCCCCCTCCTCCTCCTCCTCCTCCCCCTCTCCCCTGTTCTTCAGACAGGTGGGAGGAGGCACAGCAGGAGGAGAGGCCTCGGGATCTTCGATCCAGTAACCTCCAAACTCAGGCAGGATGACCTGAGGGTATGGCCCCCCCCTCTCCAACACCTGCAACACACACACACACACACACACACACACACACACACACACACACACACACACACACACACACACACACACACACACACACACAGTCTCCTGATTCTCTCTGTGTAGAGTATTTGACCTTCCTCACTCACACTTGACTGAAGGTCAACTACAGAAATTAAATTCCTTTTTATGCAAAAATCCTTCATATTAACCATGTTGGAGCCGGTACCTGTGACAGGTGACCTTTAACCTCACCTGTCCTTTGGTGTTTTCCTGTTTGGTTTGTGGTGATGTGTTTTAACAACTTGTGACCTTGTTAGAAAAAAAGTGTATTTGCTTTAAAATGTTATGGCTTGGATTTTTTATGTCTGTAATACATAAAGTCTTATCATGTGTTTTCTTATCGCTTCGTATCGTGTTGTATCGCCGCCTTATATCATTGTATCGTGTCATTTCATAATGTATGGAATCACACAGTGTCGTATTGTTGCCGTCTTGTATCGTATCATGTCGCTTCATATTGTATCGCTATCGTCATATGGTATAACTTCATATCACTTCGTATCATGTCGTCTTGTATAAATTGTATCGTACGGCTTCATATTGTTTTGTATCTTGACGTGATGTGACGTGTTGAGTTGTGTGGTATCGACCACGCCTCCGTCTCTCACTGTCGTCCCACTGGTTTCCCTCCGTGTGTTAATGAATCAGCTGCTGCTGATGTTTGTGACGACGTTCGGACTCACCTCCTCGATCCTCGGATAAGGAATGTAGTCGTCCTGAAGGAGGAAGACAAAGACATTACACATGGGAAATACACACACACACACACGCACACATGCACATGCACACACACACACACACACACGCGCACACATGCACACGCACACACACACACACGCACACACACACAGGTGAATAAAGTGATGAGTGGTGACGTTGACCATGACACACACATGTTGTGACACACACATGTATCTGTGACCATCATAAACCATGTGACCCTGTCACAGCCTCATTCATCACATTCAGAAATAAAATGAATTTCTCTAAAATCCACGTTCATCAATCTAAAACACATCAGTTAATGAAACGAGCTGGTCACAAACAGCAGTGCACACGCTGCTCTGATCCAGCAGCAGCAGATGAATGAAATGAAGGAACAACAGTGTGAGCGGATGGACATGAGGACCAGATGGACGGACGTGCCTTCTGTCTCTGAGGGATCGTCTTCATCTCTGCAGCTTCGGGCACCTGCTGCGTCAGTGTCAGGGACAGAAGACAGTGTTAGTCTCTCAGGTCTCAGCAGGAACCGATGTTCACCTCGCCCATAGTTTCACTTTTTAAAAATGGCTCAGGAACAAAAGGAAATTGTGCATTTGATGGGAACTATTTTCAGCGGCGGATTGATCCATATTTGGTGCTGTGGTGAGTGTTCGCGGCAGCTGCACGCTGTGTGTGTAAATAAGCTACAGTGTGTGTTCATGGTGATGAAGGATCTTGCGTAGTTTCTGGATAAACATTGGTGGGGGCGGGGCCCTGGGATCTCCCCGCCCCCCCCAGACCTGCTCTGTTCATGTCCCTGACATGAACTTCTTCCAGAGCCGCAGAGCTGTTCCTCTCAAATGATCAATAACTGTCAGTACCAATCACACGTTCAGTGATCAATAACAGAAAGTCTGACTCCACCCACCACCAGATTAACCAGAGTATAAACCAGATACCAAATACAGACCACACACACACACACACACACACACACACTCTTACCTCCATCTTATCCATCATGTCGAAGAAATGAGCCGACTGCAGACAGAGACATGAGCTCATGTTAGGTTTTGTTTCTGATGTTTACTTCACTGGTCAGTTTGAGGGTTCGGACTTCAGAGGTTCGGATGAAGGTTTGAGTTTAATAAATGAACGTGGGTTTATTTCTCAGACGCTGTGACGTCCTTCGCACCAGCAGGTGGCAGCACAATCAACCTGAGTCACATCCAAACAGCTGAAACTATTGCTGCTGGTAATTAGACTTCAACCACACACATGTCCGTGTGTGTGTAAGAGAGTGTGTTACCTTCATGGTGGGAGGTGCAGTGCGGGGGGGAGAGGGGGGGCAGTCTGCCACAGGAACATTGGAGATGGTCAGGAGCTCCTGTTTGCTGAAACAAGGACAAACAATCATCAAAATTCATTCTTCACAAACCAGCTGAAACACTTTATTTATACACAGACTGACCTACTGAGGTCTGACCTCTGACCCCCGACCTCCTTCCACTGTGTTATACTTTACACTTTAAAGCTCCTCCAGTGTAAAGGTCTGTGTCCATGTGTAGTGTGATTATAGATCAGCTCTAGCTTCTATATTAATACTGTGAAAGTATCAAAGCCTCAGTCCACAGAGAAATGCACACAGCCTGTATTCAGAAACTGAGCCTTAAAACCAGCCGTCAGGACTTCTGGAACTTTGTGATGTCACAACAAAGCAGTCACCAAGCCCCGCCCACCTGGACCCACCATCCAAACCTTGCAGGATTTGGTTTCTCTGAGTGTTTTTACCTGAAATCTGCTTTATTTTTATTGATCACTCAGAAAACAGTCAGCCAATCAGAGGAGAGGCTCAGAGCCTCCTCTCTTCTGATTGGCTCACCGACCTGTTGTTACTAGAGCTCCAGAGAGAAGCCTGAGAGAGGAGATGTAAAACTACACTGAGATGGTTTTTATATCTTCTGATGGATCAACACTTCAAATAAAACACAGAAGAAGAAACAAGCTTTAATGTTTTTGTTTATTAACCCATTAATGAAGACGACACTGACTCTGAGTTGATGTGTTGAACTTGTAACAAACATGTCGTGGTGTCAGTCCAGTGTGTTTGGCCTCCACCAGCTCAAGCTGCTGAACGCTCCATGTGTTTTTGTATTACTCTGCTGTTTAGTTGAGATGTGTATGTGCTACTTGTTCTTTTTAAATGACCTCACTGCTCATAAATCAAATCACTAAAGGGAAAGTATTGATTATTTAAATGCTGATCCTGGAGCGTTGAGAGTTAAAACCAGAGTATCAGTATCAGCTTTATCACACTACACAATAAAACACACCTGCTGCCCTGTGTGTGTGTGTGTGTGTGTGTGTGTGTGTGTGTGTCCTGATTTAACTGAGCGCCACACATCATCATATTTTGTCGCAGAGGAGTGATGAGTCCGTCTCTAAAGATAGAGCTACAATCTGTCACACACACACACACACACACGCACACGCACACGCACACACACACACGCAGTAATCATCTGTGCTAACCAGCCAGAAGACCATTCATTTCCTTCGCCCTGAGGCGAGTCGACGAACACCGTTCACCACGGTTGCCATGGTTTCGCCAGGTGTCTAAAAAGATGTTGACCTGGATTAAACTTCTGGGGAATGTGTCAACAGCCAATCACGTCACTGCTCAGGTGTCATGGTTTTGACTCAGACTTAGATGTTGATGAGTCATGATTTGACCTGGACCTGAATATTGATGAGTCACTCTTAGATTTGAATAATAATAACATGAGGTTTCAAACTCAGACTTGAACATCGTTGAGTCAAACTCGGAAACTGCTGAGTCGTACTTGAACGTCGCCAACACAAAGAACCTGAAGCTGCAGTTCCTCTAACGACCACTAGAGTCTGGCTCCAACAGTGAGTCAGTCCCCATAGACTCCCATGTTAAAATGTCCAACTTTACAGCAGAAATCAACATGTTTACAGCCTGGTACAGAAACTGTTTTGGTCTCTAGAGCTAATTTCCTCCTTCATGACACCTGTTTATATAACTCACCTGTTTATATAACTCACCTGTTTACATTTTATTAAGGACTAAAGTAATGGAGGATTGAGGGCGTGGCCTCTTTGTTGTAGGACCAACGCTCAGAGAAACTTTCCTCACAAGAAGAAGAAAAACATTTCCACTGGAGGAAAATGTGAGGGAACGTTTTTAATATCAGGATGTTCGGAATAAAGATGTATATAATAAACACACGACTACTGAACATACTGCACTTCCTGTTCCTCATATTCCAACATTTATATATATTTCATATGTTGCACCAGTTCACACACTTTAAATACAGAATAACCAGCAGCCTACATGATGCTGCGTTAATGCTAACTGCACAATGACAATAAAGTTGAATTTAATCTCACCCCCCCACCCCCTCCCATCCCATCATGCCTCCAGAATTCTTCCTCCTCCTCCTCTACTGTCCCTTCATGAGTCCAAATTAATTTCAGCAAAGTGACATTTTCACTGAAAAGAGATAAAAGTGGAACAGCCAGAGGGCCAGCAGCCACACAGAGGGGTCAACGACCTCGTGTCACTGTGTGTGTGTGTGTGTGAGGGACAAAAAGTGAGGGATGTTACATAAAAACCTGTGAAAGAAAAGGGAGAGAGAGAGAGTGGAGCTCGACCTTCCAGTGCATCACTGTAATAAATTCATCACATTTGATTGAACAAGAGAATCATGAATCTTCTCGTCAGTGAGAATCAGATTCAGTCGTGACGACGAGGTCGAGAATTAATTAACAAGTGCATGAAATTACGAAGGTTTCTGTGTCACTGTCTGAATCAATCAAGCTGATTGTTTGAGGTCAGTCTGTGAATGAGTTTTTAACACTAATTAATTCATTAAAACCTGACGGTTTCATTCAGGTCAAAAAGCTTTTTAAATAAATGAGTCGTTATCTCTAATGACAAAAGGAAACTCACCTGTTTGTTTATTTATCTACAAACATTTATCCATTTTGTATTTATATTTATTATTTTATTTATTTATGTATTTCAGCCCATCACCACGTAACTCCTTCCACTACTGAGTGTTTCAGCAGGTGAGTGAAGGAAGTCTAATGAGTAATTACTTTTAATTTATTGCTACGTACTGACGAGCAGAAACACACACCTGGTTCTGACCCTGAGGGACAATTCAGTCCAACACAAAGGTCATCGAGAGGAAGGAGGAGACACGAGACCTGCTGAGAGGGAAAAGGTCACTCTCTGTGTGTGTGTGTGTGTGTGTGTGTGTTTGTAAGAAGAAGAAAAAAAGAATAAAAGTCCCAAATCACTATTAAAAAACTGGAAAATAAACAAATACAATAGAGAAAACATTGTGGAACAGGAAGTTTTAAGAAGATTGATGATTTTTAATGAAGCTACTGAATATGTGTGCGTGTGTGTGTGTGTGATAAAAACCTCCTGAGCTTCGGTTTAAAATAAAACCCGTTTCCCGACTCTCCTGGCTCGTTATCTCCTCTGACATCTGCATGTCACAGCCGATAACATCACCTCCAACACACACACACACACACACACACACACACGTTACCATGATACACTGATGTCAAAAACTCCTCCGGGCCACATCATGACAGTTTCAGTTTGAGGACCGAGACACTTCTGAACTGAACCTGTTTCACCACGTGTTTGCGTATTACAGTTGACGTGTAGTTAGCTTGTTGTAGTTGACGTGTAGTTTGCGTGTTGTAGGGTTATGGGGTGATGCGCCCTGCAGCCTGGACTGATCAAACACACTGCAACTGAAACCGAAACTGCTTCATATGGATGTTGCTGATCGTAGAACAGATCAGACGCATAAATCAAATGTTGAATTCACTCGTGTTTTAGTTCAGTTTTATTTTCACACATCAAACGTTTCGTAACAAAGAACAGTTCATGATTAAAGTTTAGACTTACAACTAAAACAATAAAAACTTTTTGATCCTGGAGCTTCGGAAGATTCTCTGAGCTAAATACAAAAGCAACAACATAAACAACACAAATACAAAGGCAACAACACAAAAAAAGACAAATGCAAAGGCAACAACACAAAACAAGACATATACCATGACAACAACACAAATACAAAGGCAACAACACAAAACAACACATATACAAAGGCAACAATACAAATACAAAAGGCAACAACACAAAAAAACACAAATACAAAAGCAACAACACAAAACAAGACATATACCATGGCAACACCACAAATATAAAGGCAACAACACAAAAAACATATACAAAGGCAACAACACAAAAAAACACAAATACAAAAGCAACAATATAAATACAAAGGCAACAACACAAAACAACACATATACAAAGGCAACAACACAAATACAAAAGCAACAACATAAAACAACACAAATACAAAAGCAACAACACAAAACAACACAAATACAAAAGCAACAATATAAATACAAAGGCAACAACACAAAACAACACATATACAAAGGCAACAACACAAATACAAAAGCAACAACATAAAACAACACAAATACAAAAGCAACAACACAAAACAACACAAATACAAAGGCAACAACACAAAACAACACAAATACAAAGGCAACAACACAAAACAACACATATACAAAGACAACAACACAAAAAAACACAAATACGAAGGCAACAACACAAAACAACACAAATACAAAAGCAACAACACAAAAAAACACAAATACAAAAGCAACAATATAAATACAAAGGCAACAACACAAAACAACACATATACAAAGGCAACAACACAAATACAAAAGCAACAACATAAAACAACACAAATACAAAAGCAATAACACAAAACAACACAAATACAAAAGCAACAACACAAAAAAACACAAATACAAAAGCAACAATATAAATACAAAGGCAACAACACAAAACAACACATATACAAAGGCAACAACACAAATACAAAAGCAACAACATAAAACAACACAAATACAAAAGCAACAACACAAAAAAACACAAATACAAAAGCAACAATATAAATACAAAGGCCACAACACAAAACAACACATATACAAAGGCAACAACACAAAGACAAAAGCAACAACATAAAACAACACAAATACAAAGGCAACAGCACAAATACAAAAGCAACAACACAAATACAAAGGCAACAACACAAAACAACACAATTACAACAGCAACAACACAAGAGCAACAACACAAAAAAACAAAAATACAAAAGCAACAATATAAATACAAAGGCAACAACACAAAACAACACATATACAAAGGCAACAACACAAATACAAAAGCAACAACATAAAACAACACAAATACAAAGGCAACAACACAAATACAATAGCCCCAAAACAAATACAAAAGCCACAACATAAATACAAA